ATGCCCTCAAACAATTCTGGACCCATTGCCAAAATAGTCAGTGACAAAAAGGGAAGAAAAGAAGGTGAATCCAGTTAGAAAATGTTTGGCTAAAGGAGCCTGATTGTCCTGACTGGGGTCCTGTCCCCATCCCTAGAACAGTCACTGTGGTTAGAGGGATGAAATAATATTATTAGCCACTGCTATAACCAAGGAAAAGATTATTAACAGAAGAAGCTGAGGAGACAAAGGCATTCTGAACTGACACCAAAAATTACATACTGGATGGGAAAGAACTAATTGTTGGTGTTAACAAAATGGGTTCTACTGAGCCACCCTGCAGCTAGAAGAGATATAAGGAAATGGTTAGGGAAGTTAGCACTTTCATAAAGAAAACTGACACAGCCCTGACACAGAAACATTTGTGCCAATTTCTGGTTGAAATGGTGACAACATGCCGGAGCCAAGTGCTAACATGCCTTGGTGGCTCTGGATGCATCCTGCCACCAACTTGTCCAATTGACAAGACTTTGTGCCAGCCCCTCCAGGACATCTACAAAATTGGTTGTATTGGGACTGTCCCTATGGACTGAGTTCAGATAGGTGTTCTCAAACTTGGCATGGCGGTCACCTTTGCTTCAGTCAATGTTAAACTAAAGTCAAGACTGTTAAAATGCACCATGAAGTTTTAAGTTAAGCTCTTCCTAGACAGTATAGACTTCAGTGTCAAGAATGTGTCTGTCGGGCCTCCCTGGTGGCACAGGTGGTTGAGTGCAATGCTTTGAAGCTGTCTGCAGCCTCTGCAGCATGGGTTCGATCCCGGCCAGCCGTGGAGATGCCCACATGGTGTGGCAGACCTCTCCTGTCTCACCCACTGCTCCCCTCAGCAGTGTATTTCAGTCAGTGTATTTCTGCCTGTTCTGCTCCCTGCTCTGTCTCTGATGAATCCTCTCACCCTTCCGCACATCTGGCCTGTACTCCAGTTCTTGTGTGCGTGAATAAATAAATCTTTAAAGAAAGAAAAAAAAGAATGTGTCTGTCAAAGATATTCGCTATGGCAATGTGACTGTGACAGCAAAAATTCCACCAATGGAATCAGCTGGCTTCACAGCCTAGGTGATTCTTCTGAATCATTCAGCCCAACTCCATGCTGGATAAGCATCTATGCTGGTGCACACAGCTCACAGCTGTGAGTCACACAGCTTACATTGTTTGCAAGTTTGCTGATCTGAAGGAGAAGATTCATCGTCATTCTGGAAAAAATGTTGGGAAGATGGCCCCAAGTTCTTAAAATCTGGTGATGCTACTATCATTGAGATGATTCCTGGCAGGCTCATGTGTGTTGAGAGCTTCTCTGACTAGCCTTCTCTAATGTAGTATTACCAATCACAACATGAGACAGGCAGTTGCTGTGGGTGTCATCAAAACACCATCAAAGTGGGTAAGATGGCATCTGGTGCCATCAAGGTCACCAAGTCTACCCAGTGGGCTCAAAAGGCTAAAGGAGGGCCTCCCCGGTGGCGCAGCAGTTGAGCGCTGGGTTGCGAAGCTGCCCGCGGCCTCTGCGGCACCGGTTCGATCCCCGGCTGCTCCCCGGCCACCAGAGGAGGGTCCCACATGGCGCGCAGACCTCTCCTGCCGCCCGCTGCTCCCCTCAGCAGTGTACTTCATCAGTCTGTCTGCTCTGCTCTCCCCTCTGGCTCTGGTGAATTCTCTCACCCTCCCGCGCTTCTGACTGTACCCAGTGCTTGTATAAACAAAACAAACAAACAAACAAATAAATAAATAAAACATGCCTCTATTAAAAAAAAAAGGCTAAAGGAATATTACCCCCAATACCTGCTACCCTAGTTTTAATCAGTAGTGGAAGAGGAGTCTCTGAATTTTTTGTCTGAATTGGTTTAATTAAGGTTAATAGTAAAAAACTGGTTAATGATAACAATACATTATAAAACCTTCAGAAGTAAAATATTTTATTGAACATTGTTTTTGGTGTTTACTTGTAACCATTTTATTAGTTTTTAAAATAAGTTCATTTTAATGGAAACAACCACAAATCTGTCACAGGAATTTGAGGCTCATTAAAACAAAGTTGAATGAGAAAAAAAAGTTCTAGAAGGAGATCCACTAAGCCATTAATAGATAGGTGGGGTGATTAGGCTTCTATATATAGTACTTTCAGGTCTTGCTTTCATGATTTGTCATGTGGGGCCAGATCAATGCTCAGTTTAAAGGTAATTATTCCCCTACTGAGGTAGCACACGCCTTTCTATGATACCCAGTACCCTGATTGGTAGAAAGAGGCACTAGTCCCTGTGTGAATGCCAGTTACTATTACCTGTAAATTGTGTGTTGGTTCTCTACCTGGCTTTGGATAGCTTTCTCATGCACACATACTGATCAATCCTCATGGAGCTGCCTCTGCATGTTTTTAGAGTCTCTCTGTGAAACTCTTTCCCCCTTGATACTCTATAATTCTGCAGATTCTAGTGCCTATTGTTTTCACATACTCTGAATTCCATTTTCTCAATTCAAGGAGACTACCAGTCTCTGCCTGGATTCCCGCTCCATGCCATTGCCTTAAATCTCTCTCCACAAGTTGAAAGAATAGCCTATTCACATACAATTGTGTAACTAAATGTGTAAGGATATGTAAGCATTTAAGAGATGTGGACTTAGACTAGTATGGGTGTTATAAAAGGTGGTTGTCAGCATGGACTAAGGCAACTGACTGTGGCTTAATGGACAACACTGGCTTGAGCTAGTCTCAATGGAGGAAGTGTACATTTCAAAGCCAGGGATCAGCTTCAGAAGATGTTATTTTTCCGGTGGGTAATACCATTAGCTGAGATGTCAGAGGGAGGAGAAGACAGGGATCTGGACAGATGAGAAATATTCCAAGGAAATGATTTAAAGAAATGCTAACATAGAAAAGGGAATGGAAATAGGAGATCAGGTATGGAGACATCTCTAGGGAATTGCTGGGTCATAAGGTAGCTCGATTTTTAGACTGAGGAAACTCCAGACAGCTTTCCATAGTGGTTGGACCAGTTTGCACTCCCACCAGCAGTGCAGGAGAGTTCCTTTTTCTCCACAACCTCGCCAACATTTGTTGTTGCTAGTTTTTTTAATATGTGCCATTCTCACTGGTGTAAGATGGTATCTCAATGTGGTTTTGATTTGCATTTCCCTGATGATAAGGGATGTTGAACATTTTTTCATATGTCTGTTGGACATTTGCATTTCCTCTTTGGAGAAATGTCTTTTAAATTCTGCCCATTTCTTGATTGGATTGTTTATTTTGTTTTTGTAGAGTCCTGTGAGTTCTTTGTATATCTTTGTGATCAGTCCCTTATCTGTTGAATGGAGTGCAAAGATTTTTTTCCCAATCAGTGGGGTGTCTCTCTGTTTTGGTTAATGACTCTTTTGCTGAACAGAAGCTTTCGGTTTGATGTAATCCCAGGTGTTTATCTTTTCCTCCACTAGCTTTGCTTTGGGTGGGTGATCAGTCTTTAAAGATGTTATTGTGATGTATGTCCTACAGTGTTTTACCTATATTTCCTTCTATATATTTTATGGTTTCAGGTCTTATGTCCAGTTCTCTCATCCATTTTGAGTTGATTTTTGTGCATGGTGAGAGGCAGTGGTCTAGTTTCATTTTTTGCATGTGGTGGTCCAGTTTTCTCAGCACCATTTATTGAACAAATTGTCCGTGTTCCATTGCATATTCTTTGGAAGCAAAGACAATTAACACACTGATGCATATGGAGTTGGTCAGCACTGGGGAAAACTGGTTACTTGATCTTCTGAGATTGTCCGTCAAGGAAAACAGAAAATGCATTTAACCTCAGCTGTATGTGGCTCTCATGCCTCAATCAAAGATTACCCCACAATATGTAAAGTGACATACTTCCAAACTATACATGACTGAGAGTTGAGCAGAGTCCTGTTACCACAAAACATTAGAAAAGCCCAGGACAGAAATCAAGAGGCATGTGGCTTAGATGCTGTCAGACTACACCAGCTAGCCTTGTGTGGAACTGGACTCTTACCTATAGCCAAAATAAGAAGTAAGAATGAGAGTTTTTGAATTGCACAAGAGGTATGCTGCTCAAAGTCATACCACTAGTATACAAAAGAGCTGGAATATGAAAACAAAGCCCAGTGGGAGTTCTGGGCAGGATCATGATATTCTATTATATGCTGCTGATGGGGAGACTAAGGGCATGAGTGAGTAAGGGGGTGGGCAGCGGTGTTGTGTCTTTATACATCTTGTAATGTACTATTTGTTGCTCCTGCCTGGCATTACATCTCAAATTGTCAGAGCAGCAAGATCTGCAGCACTCACACAAATCTACTGCCAGACAACAGTTATCTGAGAGAGGTTCAAATACCTCAACTGCAAAACCACCTGGGGTGGGAAGGTAGACAGAGAACACCATGGTAGGTGGGTACATTTACCATGACAATGAAGTTTTCTCACACACTCTTTATGATTAGTATGCTTCCCACTTTATCCTTTCAATACACAGAAGGTTTTTAAGTCAGCCCAGGGTCACATGTTTTCTTCTACTTCAACTGTTCATGGACTAGTACATGACTTTCAGGTATTCGACTTCCTCCCGTTCCCCTGGATCTGCTATTTTGTTTTAAATATTTTTTACTTTTGCAGCAGCATTGGCTTTGATCTCTGATCGACCTTAGTTCAAATTCACCTTCACCACTTACTAGTTTTGTGACCCTGGCAAATGACTTTCCTTATTTGTAAAATAAAAGCAGATCTTGTTCTAAAACCTGAAAACAGCGCTAGGCCTTGCTAGCTGTCAAAGTTCTTATCAAAGCACAGATTATACTCTATTCATGGAATTTGGCTCTGTTAAACACCAGGTAACTAGAGTAAATAATGCAGAACTAGTACTCCCTTATACTTATTCTGCAAGTATTTAAGCCAGGCATTGTTCTAAGTGCTGGAGAGAGAGCGGTGAATGAATCAGGCAACAGTCCTATCCTTCAGAACCTACCTTTTAGTTGTGGGATGTCAGATAATACACAGGTACGTGCATTAATTAAAGATGGTAATAAGTGCTATGGAAGAAAGAAAACAGGACACTATGTTAGAAAATGACTTGGGGAAGAGTCAAGGCAGGAAGAAACTTACTTGAGTAAGGGTGGTTAGAAAAGGCCTCTGGGAAGGTGACATTTGAGCTGAGCCATGAAGGATGAGACTGAGCCAGCCACCTGTTTTAGTTACTATTATTGCATAAAAAATTACCCCAAAACTTAACAGCTTAAAACAACCAGTGTTTTTCATTTCATGGTTTCTGTGGGTCAGTGATCAAGGCATGACTTGGCTGGGGGTCTCCTGCTCAAGGTCTCTCCCAAGGCTAGCGCTGGGTCTGCAGTCAGCTAAAGGTTCTACTGGGGAAGGATCAGCTTACAACCTCCCCCACAGGGCTGTTGGCAGGCTTCAGGTCCTTGCTGGCTGTTGGCTAGAGACAACCGTTTTTTTTTGTCATGTGGGCCGCTCCACAAGGCAGCTCAGAGAAGACAGCTGTCCTCCCTCACAGTGTGCCAGTGAGAAAGTAAGTGAATGCACCCCAGTGAGAATCACCTTCACTTTGAAACCTATCACCTCCACTGCATTCTGTTTGCTAAACACAAGGCATTTAAATTCAACCCAGGGGAGGAGTTACACAAGGATGTAAGGATGATCGGAGGAGGCAGGGATGATCAGAGCCACTTTAGAGGCTGCACCATGCAAAGAGCTGGGAAAGTGTTCAAGGCAGAACAAACAGAAAATGCAAAGGTCCCCAGTGAGGGAAACCCTAGATGCATCTGAGGAAGTGAGAGTGTTATAGGGTAGCCCCGATACAAAACGGGTTGCCTGACTGTGGGTCCTCACCCACGCGCTTAAAAGAACTTATCAATACTCCACTGCAGGCACACACGAAAGGTTAATAAAAGGTTTATTTACAAGGGAAGGGCAAATGAGGAAATGTACAACTCAGGGAGAAAAGTGGGAGACAAAGTGTTAAATGCGTCCTACCCGATCCGCTGATCTGGAATCCCAAAAGCACTCTGAGAGCTGGCTGCAAGCACTCTGAGAGCTGGCTGCCAGGAGGCTAGCGAGAGAGAGCGACCCCCCAAGGCCCACGTGTTTGGTTTTTATACCAAACCTGGCTGCTTAACTCCACCCTCAGGTCCCAGCCACCTTCCCTTTGGTGGTGACGGGATTTGTCTTTCCCAGTGTCTTGATGGCTTTGGTCTGGAGTGGGGGTGGAGTCCACAAAGCCTGCATGGAATTAGCTCAGGACATCCTTTCCCCGTAACAATTAGACACTGGTGGAGGTAGAATTACTGAATAAAAATGAAAAAATGGTAGGAGATGAGATAGTCAAGCAAGACTGAAAATAAATTTTGGTTTTATCCTAAATGCAGAGTGGGAGGCAGTAAAGCATTGTAAACAAGCAATCAGTGACATTTCCAGCCACATGACATTTCCCGGAGGTATGTGGTGGATGTAGCCCTATCACAACTTGATGGACAAAAGTGGAGGATGAAGGAAAAGGGCTCTTCTGCTCAAAAAACCTCAGTGGCACCTAAATGCCACCTAAATGCCTTTAACTAAAGCTAAAAACCTCAGGTCTGATAATATATTTCGCAAGTTATCCAGCTTTATCTCCCATCACTCACCAAAACTCCAACTTAAGTTTCTTGAACTTGTACTATATTTTCCTCTCTCTGAGCTTGTGCTATTTCCTTTGTCTGGGAAGCAGCTTCCACATCTCTACCTGTCAAATCTGGATCCTTTTTGTTAATACCCTTAAGTGCTACAGGAAGTAGTGCTAAACTTTGTGAAACTTTCCTAATTCTTCACATCTTTGAATCCCCCTTGTCATTTAATCCATTTTTGGGATTTTACCATGTCTTTCCTAGTATGAGTAGTTCATAACTAGATTGTAACTGCTTGAGATCAGGCACCTTGCTTTCCTTAATTTTGTAACATGTGCAGTACTCAGGACTTGAGCATATATAATCAACATTCTACAAATATTTGTCAATTTGCATTAAAGTGGGAATTAGATTATAGTTCCTTGGTTCACTATGAGAACTTCCTGGAAAATAATAATTTCCCTTTGGTTGTCACTAAGTTATAATTTTTCTATCACAACTTACAAACATGCAAAGTATGATTCAATTTATACAAAGTATGTTCTTTGATCATAATGGAATTAAACCAGATATTAATAATGTAAATATCTTTGAAAATCTCCAAATATTTAGAAACTAAATGACAGACTTCTAAGTAACAACACATGGGTGAAAGAAGAATTAAAAGGGTAATTAAAATTTATTTTGAACTGATAAAAACACTACAAAGTAAAATTTGTAGGCACCTATTAAGGCAATTTTTAGGGAGAAATTTATAGCATCACATACCTATATTTGAACAGAAGAAAGGTTTCATAACATTGACCTTAAAACACTAGAAAAAGAAAAACAAATTAATAAAATATATACAGTGTTGTAAAATAATGTTACCTCAGTAAATATAATAAAAAAGAAAAGCTAATTAAATCCAAAGAGGAAGAAAACAAATCATTAAGATCAAAGTATAAATCAATAAAATAGAAAACAAAATATGGAGAAATCAATAAAATCAAAAGTTGTTTCTTGGAGAAAATCAATAAATTGATTTAAAAAAAACCCTCTTGACAGGCATTAGAGGAAAAGGAAGGAATACACAAATGACAAAAAGCAAGAACAAAAAAGGGACGTCACTTCAGATTCAACAAATATTGAAAAGACAATCTGGGACTATTTGAAAAACCTTATGCCAATAAATATGACAACCTAAACAGAACATTTCCTTGAATGACAAAAATTACCAAAGCTCATGCAAGGAAAAATAAATAATTCAAGTAGCCATGTATCTATTTAGGAAAACGGCATAGTTCAAAACCATCCTCTAAAGAAACTTTAGGGTGAGATGATGCCATAAGTAAATTCTATCAAATATTTAAAGACATACAACCAAGTCTATACAAGCTCTTCCAAAAATATCAAAGAAAAGAAATAGCTCCCAATTAATCTTAGGAGGCCAGGATTACTTTCAAGGTGAAACAAGACAAAGACATTACAAGAAAAGACTACAGGGCCTCCCCGGTGGCGCAGCGGTTGGCGCAGCGGTTGAGCGCTGGGTTGCGAAGCTGCCCGCGGCCTCTGCGGCGCCGGTAAGATCCCCGGCTGCTCCCCGGCCACCAGAGGAGGGTCCCACATGGCGCGCAGACCTCTCCTGCCGCCCGCTGCTCCCCTCAGCAGTGTACTTTGGTTCTTCTGCCTGCTCTGCTCCCCGCTCTGGCTCTGGTGAATTCTCTCACCCTCCCGCGCTTCTGACTGTACCCAGTGCTTGTATAAACCAAACAAACAAACAAATAATAAATAAATAAATAAGACATGCCTCTAGAAAATTAAAAAAAAAAAAAAAGGAAAAGACTACAGACCAATATCCCTCATGAACAAAAATTCTACCCAAAATGTTAGCAAACTGAATTGGACAGTTTATCAAAAGGATAAAACATTTATATAATCAAATGAGGTTTATCCCTGGAATGTAAGATTAATCAATCAACAAGTTTAAAATACAAACTAAAAATGAAAACCATGTTCATCTATATAAATATTGAAAAAAAAAGCATTTGACAAAATCCAATATACATCCCTGAGAAGTACTCTCAGTAAACTAAAATTTTAGAAGGAAACTTCCTCAACCTCATATACGTCATCTAAAGAAATCTGAAGCTATCATCATACTTAATGGTGAAACCTAAGTACTTCCCTTGTAAGATCAGAAATCAGATAAGGATTTCTTTTTTTTTTTTATATATAGAGGCATATTTTCTTTCTTTCTTTATTTATTTGTTTGTTTTTGTTTATACATGCACTGGGTACAGTCAGAAGTGCGGGAGGGTGAGAGAATTCACCAGAGCCAGAGCGGGGAGCAGAGCAGGCAGAAGGACCGAAGTACACTGCTGAGGGGAGCAGCGGGCGGCAGGAGAGGTCTGCGCGCCATGTGGGACCCTCCTCCGGTGGCCGGGGAGCAGCCGGGGATCGAACCGGCGCCGCAGAGGCCGCGGGCAGCTTTGCAACCCAGCGCTCAACCGCTGCGCCACCGGGGAGGCCCCAGATAAGGATTTCTGCTCTTATCGTATTAATTCAATACTGTATTAATTGTTCTAGTTAGTACAATTAGGTAAGAAAAAATATGATTGAAAAAGGAAGAACTCATCTTTAAAAAAAACTACTATAATAATTGAGACAAATAAGGTTGTAAGAAACAAAGTCAACATACAAAAAAATCACTTATATTTCCCTGTGCTAGCAACAATAATCAGAAATTTGACTAGAAAACATTACCATATATGATAACATAAGAATATTAGAGACAAATTTGAAAAGTGAAATATACCTACATACTAAAACTACAAAATATTGCTGAAAGAAATTAAAGAAGACCCAGATAAATAGAAAGCTATACCTTGTTCATGGATCAGAAGATTTAATATCCTAAAGATGTCAACTGTCCTCAGATTAATCCAATGTTTCAGTGCAATACCAATCAAATTCCCAACAGGAGTTTTTATAGAAGTTGACAAGCTGATCCTAAAATTATTATAGAAAAGCAAAGAATTTAGCCAAACACTCTGGAAAAAAAAACAAATTTGGAGGTATAACACTATTTGATTTCAGGAATTACTATAAATCTGTATTAATGAAGACAGAGTACTATTAGCATAAAGATTAAAAAGAGATCAGTGGGACAAAATGGGAAGTCCAGGAAAAAACACACACAAATATCTGGACAACAGATTTTTGACAAGGCGCAATGGTAATGCAATGGAGAAAGAACCATATTTTCATCAAATTGTGCTGAAACAATATAAATAGAAATAATATTTTTTAAGATTTATTTTATTTATACAAGAACTTGAGTATAGGCCAGAGGTATGGGAGGGTGAGAGAATTCACCAGAGACAGAGTGGGAAGCAGAGCAGGCAAACAGACCGAAGAATCTGCTGAGAGGAGCAGAGGGCAAGACAGGAGAGGTCTGCTGCGCCATGTGGGTATGTCCCTGATCAGCCAGGAATCGAACCAGTGCTGCAGAGGCTGCAGACATCTTCACAGTGCTGCACTCAACCCCCTGCGCCAGTGGGGAGGCCCTATAAATAATATTTTTAAGCTTATTAAATATTTTAATAAGGTATTAAAATATAAATATTTTTTAACCTTAGACCCATATCTAACAAATGCAATATTTAACTCAAAATTGGTCATAGAACTAAAGGTAAAAACTTAAATCTATAAAACTTTTGGAAGAAAACAGTAGATCTTTATGACCTTGTGTTAAACAAGCATGCCTTAGCTATAACATCAAAAGCACAATTCATAGGGCCTCCCTGGTGGCACAAGGGATTAAGCACTACACTATGAAGCAATCTGCAGCCTCTGCAGCAGGAGGGAGATTCCCACATGGCGCAGCAGACCTCTCCTGTCTCGCCTGCTGCTCCCCCCAGCCATATACTTTGGTCAATCTGCCTGTTCTGTTCCCCACTCTGTCTCTGGTGAATACACACACACACACACACACACACACACACACACACACCCTCTCTGGCCTGTACCCCAGCTTGTATGCATAAATATATCTTTTAAAAAAACCCACAATTCATGAAAGAACAAATTGATTAATTGGCCTTGGTTAAAATTAAAAACATCTGCTCTTTAAAAGACACTCTTAGGATAATAACAAGACAAGAGGGCCTCCCCTGGTGGTGCAGCAGTTGAGCCCTGGGCTGCGAAGCTGCCCGCAGCCTCTGCAGCGCCGGTTCGATCCCCGGCCACGGGTGAGGGTCCCACATGGCGCGCAGACCACTCCTGCCGTCCACTGTTCCCCTCAGCAGTGTACTTCATCAGTCTGCCTGCTCTGCTCTCTGCTCTGACTCTGGTGAATTCTCTCACCCTCCTGCGCTTCTGACTGTACCCAGTGCTTGTATAAATAAATAAATAAATAAATAAATCTTAAAAAAAAAAAAAAAAAAGACAAGACACAGTCTGGGAAAAAAATCTTTGCAAAAAGAGACAATAACAAAAACAAAGAGAAACCTTATCGACTGGGAGAACATTTTTGCACTCAACACTAATGATAAAGGACTGATCACGAAAATCTGCAAAGAGCTGATGAGACTCAACAAAAACAAAGAAAATAATCCTGTCAAAAAATGGGCAGAAGAGCTAAAAAGAAACTTCTCTGAAGAGGAAATGCAAATGGCCAACAGGCATATGAAAAAATGTTCATCACTTGTAATCAGGGAAATGCAAATCAAAACTACAATGAGATACCATCTTACACCAGTGAGAATGGCACATATTAAAAAAACTAGCAACAACAAATGTTGGCGAGGATGTGGAGAAAAAGGAACTCTCCTGCACTGTTGGTGGGAGTGCAAACTGGTCCAACCACTATGGAGAGCTGTGTGGAGATTTCTGGACCTACTAAACATAGAGCTTCCATATGATCCAGCAATTCCACTCCTAGGTATTTACCCAAAGGACACAGAAACATCCATTCCAAAGAGCACCTGCACCCCTATGTTTATAGCAGCGCTATTTACAATAGCTAAGCTTTGGAAACAACCCAAATGCCCAAAAATAGATGACTGGATCAAGAAGATGTGGTCCATATACACCATGGAATATTACTCAGCATTCAAAAAAGATAAACAAATGCAATTTGCAGCAACATGGATGGCGCTGGAAGGGATCATGCTCAGCGAAATAAGCCAGAAAGAAAAAGAAAAATACTGGATGGTCTCACTCATAGCAGGAATCTAGAAAACTTGAATAAGGGACCAGGAAAATGAATAACTATAAGAAAGTGAAAATCAAAATCAACAAACAACTATGAACCAGAGACACTCTATAGGGGGTGAGGGGCGGGGAGGGGAGGGATTGGGGTCAAAATAAGGGGGTTGCAATTGTATGGGGAATATAAAAATAAAATTTATTTTAAAAAAAAAGGAAAGAAAGAAAAGGCATGGAAGCGCCAGGCCTTCTCCCCACAACCCCCCCCAAAAAAAAAATCTTTGAAAGTCTTAACATATATCTGATAAAAGACTTGTATCCTAAGTACATATTCTCAAAACACAACAATAAGACAACAAAGAAACCAATAAAAAAACTCAGTCAAAGATTTCAATGGACAATTTATGATACAAAAATGGCAAACAAAGCTAAGAAAAGATGTTCAATATCATTAGTCATTAGAAGAATGCAGATTAAAATTATAATGAGCAAATTCTACATAGCTATTAGAATGATTAAAATTAAAAAGACTTACCATGCCAAGTGCTAATAAGGATGTGGAAGAATTGAAACACTTATGAACTTCTGGAGACAATGTCAATTTTACAACCACTTTAAAATGAATCTTAAAATTATCACGAAGCATGAAAAGAACCAACCAAAAAAAAAAAAAAAGTGCATTCCGTATGATTAAACTGTAGAAAATTCAGAACTAGTCTATAGTGACATAAAGATATTTGACTGGTGACTGCATGAATATAGGGGACAAGAAGTTTGAAGGGAGTGATTATAAAGGTACAGGTGGAACTTTCAGAAGTAATAGATATGGTCACTGATTGTAGTGGTGATTTCACAGCTGTGAATACATGTAAAAATTGTAGACTTCAAATTTGCAGTTTATGATAAATAAGTCAAATTTATCTACATATAAACTTTATCTGCATATGAAATTATTCTTCTTTGCTAAGGTATAGTCAACATACAGTAAAATATACATAATTCTTTTTCATTGGGCCTAGAAGTGAAAATGTCACTCCCTGTCTGTTACATTGGCTAGTGAAAATCGTATGTCCACACCTAACTCTATGGGGACAGAAAGTGCATTCTTAACACAAGGCTGAAAGGAGGCAGTTAAATATTTGTGTATAGTCCTAACGGCTACCACTCTCAGCAGTAAGTATATTGTTGTTTTTCTTTTTATACACAGAGCACTTGTCCCAGTTGTTACATAATAGAATTCACATTCCTTTATGGAACCACCAAACAACAGTTGACTTTTCAACTCTGACTCAAAAAATCCTGCATAGATTCAGCT